TGGCTCAGTGGATAAATCTGCATATTGTAAGTGCTGGGATCCTTTATGGGCACTGGTTTATGCCCAGGCTGCCCCACTTCCCATCCAGCTCCCTGCACACTTGTGGGAAACCTGGAAGGAAGAAGCACCTGGCTCCTGGCTTCAGATCTGCTCAGCTCCTGCCATTGATGTCACTTGGGGAGTGAACCAGCAGATGCATGTTTCTCCTTAAATCTCATCTGCCTTTCCAATAAAAATAAATGAATTTTGAGATTCATTTATTTTACTTGAAAGTCAATAACAGGGAAAATGAGAGTGGTCTTGCATCTGCTGACTAACTACCCAAATGGCTGCAACGGCCAGAGCTAGGCAGGTCCAAAGGTGCGATCCAGGAGCTGCTTCTAGGTCTCCCATGTGGCTACAGTGACCCGAGGATTTTGGCCATCCTCTGCTGCTTTTTCTAAGCATACTAACAGGGCGCTGGATCCGAAGTGGAGTAACTAGGATTCAAACCCATACCCATATAAGATACTGGAACCTCCACTGTAGGATTAGAGCACTATAGCACTACCTTGGTTCCAGGATTTCTTTCAAAGTTTGACTACTGATGTTTTAAGAAATGCTGCTTATTTAATTTAACTCAGCAAATTTCAAAATGTTATTTTGTTTTTGTATGTTGAAAGACTAAATAATGCAGAGTGAAAAATAAGTTTTTCATCCCCTCTAAAACGATTTGAGACATAGCTCCTTTTCATAGCAAGGAGCCAGCAGCTTAATCCAGGATCTCTACAAGGATGGCTGGTATCCACCTTCAGTGTCACCTGCTTCCTCCCAGGGTGTACTGCTTCCTCCCAGGGTGTACATTAAAAGAAAGCTTAGGCATGGAGCTGGGGCTTAAACCTAGGTGCCGTGATAGGTGATGTGATAATCAGTGTTGTAATTGCTAGCCAAATGCCTGCCCCAGGAAGGTTTTCATTATAAAGTGTGCTCATCATCCACCAGCGTGAGATGAAACGGAGCAGGCCGGGCCAGGCTATAACACCCAGTGACAAATGCCAAGGTGAGATGGGCCAGGCCAGACTGGGCTGCAGCACCCACCAGCTTGATGTGGGGTGGTGAGCCCAGTAGGGGAGCTCTGGGGACTCTCCTAGTGAGCGTGAGAGCTGGGACTAGGGGCAGAGCAGGCTGGGCAGGGCTACACCTTTTGGCCTACATGTGAACTGGATTTGGGGGAGAGCTAGGCTGGACCAACTGTATTCACTGGTGCTGGCGTGAGCCAGAATAAGGGAAGGCTGGTTCGGCTTTGCTGCAGTATCAGCTGGCAAGTGCTGGAACAGGGGCAGTCTCTGACAGGACTGGGGAGTGGGCCCAGTAGGGAAACTGTGGGTACCCCTCTCATGGGGCTGAAACTCTCACTGACAGCATGAGACTGGGGATGGGCCTGACTAGACAGGCAGTGGCACCTGCTGGCATGAGTGTGGGCTGGAGGGTGAGTTGGTTGGGATGAGTTAGGCTTCAAGGCCCAATTATGTATATGAAATCTGAATGGGAAGTGGGACAGACCAGACCAGTCCACTGTACACATTGGCAGACAAAGAAACCAGGGCTGGGTTCCAGCCCAGTGGGGGCTATTGGGAGTCGCTTCAACCAGGCTGCAGCTCCCAGTGGTGTACTTAGGAGCTGACTGTGTGGAAGGTGGTGTTGGACTGGGCCGCAGTTGGGAGATGGGGCTAGAAATGGATCTGACTTAACGATAGCAGGTGCAATTGCCAGTGTGGAAGTAGGCTGATGTGGGTGATGGAACGAACTGAACCCTGTGCAGGTGGGCAAACGTGGGAAATAGGTCTGAGATCACCTCAGATGAGATTTCTTTGAGGGCTCCCTCCACCTGGGTCGCTGTAATAACTCCGACTGTGGGGAGAGAAGGACCTGTGGTATGACAATGGAGTGCATCTGTTAGAGCTGGACCTCCTCGGTGGCTTTGACAGAGCAGCAGTGGATGGCGTGCCTGGAGGCACATGGAGAATGGGTCACATCCTGGAGCCTGCAGAGGACACCTGGTACCATAGCAGAAGAAGCAGGGCAGAACAAATTGATCATCTACCCCAGTGAAGCCTGACAGCAAATGGAGACTCAGAGGTGGACTGTGTCTAGCAACAGACTTTAAATATATATCTGCAAGGTCGACAGCACAGCGTTTCAGAACTATCAAAACCACTTGAGCAGAACTCTTTAGGCATGCTCCACCGTGGGGACTTTGGGATGACATCGGGAGGCTGGGTATGGCTTCTCCCCTTGAAGAAGGGAAAAAAATGTGGATGCAAAGGTCTCACCTCTTTTCCCTGATTCAGGACTCTTCCCACCCTAACCAATTATGTGAACATTATCAAAAATAAATTTTTAAAAATGTGCTCATGCATTTTTTTGTTTCATATATTCAAACCTGAATTTTGCATTGATGTTCTTTCTACATCAATGCAGATCAACATTTTTGACATTAAAATATTCTGTTTGATTGTTTAGTGTTAGCACTAAGCTTATGGCAATGCAGTCAATGATTGGCAAAAGCATCTTAATGTGTGATCCATTGGGAGAGAGACCGTAGAGGTCAAACTAATTCAGAATCACAAACTTGAAAGATTGTATGATGGGAAGGAGTAGAGCTTCAGGCTCCATGATGACACCACAGGTTAAGCCACCAACTGCAATGCTGGCCGTCCACCATGAGTGCTGATCAGAGTCTTGGCTCTGGATTCCACATCCCGAAAGGTTTCCTGCTACTGCGCCTAGTGAAACAACAGAAGTTGGCCTACGTGCTTGTGCCCCTGCCCTTGCTTCACAGATCCAGATGAAACTCGTGATTTCCAGCTGATCCAGCCCTGGCTGTTGTGGCCATTTGGAAAGTGAACTGGCATTTGAAGCTCCCTCAGTTTCTCCTGCCTCTTTGTCTAACTTTTTTTTTTTTTTAAGAATGAAAAAAGTGTTACTGTTCTGTAGAAGAATGTGCAAATTAGAAAAGAATGTATCTGAAGGAGTAAAACTTGGAGCTGAAAGCCAGATAATATACAGGGACATCTTCCAGATTTTGTCACTATCTGTAGGTTATTGGATGGGGAAAGGGCCTTAGTTTTTTGTTTTTGTTTTTTGTTTTTCTCCTGGTGTGGCACATGGTCCTAAGTCTAGAGAAAGACATTTAAAGCTTTTGATAGTCCCTTGCTGAAATTACTCTGTAAAAAGCAATAATTTATAGAACACTGCCTAAATTTCACACTATTTTACCTGCATTATAAAAATCCTTGGGGTTGAATGTGGTGGCACAGTAGTAGTGGATTAAGCTCGCACTGCAGTGCTAGCATCCCTTGTGGGTGCTGGTTCAAGCCCTGTCTGCCACACTTGCACTTCCCAGTCTAGCTCGCTGGTTATGCTCCTGTGGTTAGATCCCTTCGCCCGTGTAGGAGACCCCCAAGAGTTTCCTAGCTCCTGGCTTCTGTCTGGCAGATTTCTCAATCTCCTGCATGGGTCAGGGGCCCAAGCACTTTGGTTGTCATCATCTGCTTTCCCAGTGATATTAGCTAAATTAGAAGTGGAATAACTGGGCCAGGCGCGATGGTACAGTGGTTAAGGTCCTCACCTTGCACGCCTGGGATCCCATATGGGCACCGATTCTAATCCTGGCAGCCCTGCTTCCCATCCAGCTCCCTACATGTGGCCCGGGAAAGCAGTCTAGGACAGCCCAAAGCTTTGGGAACCTGCACCCGCACGGGAGACCTGGAAGAGGCTCCTGGCTTCAGATCAGCATAGGGTCGGCTGTTGTACTCACTTGGGAAGTGAATCATCGGACGGAAGATCTTCCTCTCTGTCTCTCCTCTCTGTTATCCATCCGCCTTTCCAATAAAAATGAAATAAATCTTTAAAAAAAAAAAGTGGAATAGCTGGGACCCAAACGAGGTGATGTTGTAAATAGGGGCTTAACTCCAATGACCCGACACTGGCCCCTGGATTTTAGTTTTTTTAAGGTGAAAAGTTAATTTTAACATGAACTTTTTTTTACATTTAGTTCAGATTTTTAAAGTAGTCTTGAATTACCTAAGTCATTTAAATAAACAGGTTTTGCTTTGTTCTATCTTAATCTGACAGTTAAAGGGTCTCATTCACTATGTCACTCCCCCAAAATCACTGAAGGCTGGGATGGGCCGAAAATACAGTTGAAAATAAAGTGAATGTATTGAAGGCAGGAGTCAGGAATTCATTCCAGAGTTTCCCATGTGGATGGCTGAGGCCCAAGCACTTGGGCTAGCTGAACTTCATAGCTGGCCCCAGGTTTTGGATTTTTTGTGGAAAGATACTTTGGGCATGTTATGATAAATCCCAATAATTCATTCAGGTCTGCTAATTATGGAGTTTACAGTGTGTGTATCTGCGTACTTTGGGAGGCTGAAAGGTAGTTGGTTATCAGTGATGCTACGAGAGGCATGTTTGAAGACTCATGTTTTATATGGTATAGGGTAAGATCCAGGATTTTCTAAAACTCATGAAATATTTTATAAATGCAATAATTAGTTTTTTTAAGCTCTCAGATGACATGAGTAACAGATTTTTTAAAATTGAGTTTGCTGAAAATAATACAGTTGAAAATAAAGTGGATGTATTATGAGTGCTGATTAGGCTTAAAAACTTAAGCAAATCTTGACCATTATTTTTAAGTGAATAAATAAATATGCTTGTGTTCTGGTCCTTTCCTATGATCTGTAGAAAATTTCAGACCTTTTCTGTTGGTGCCATTGTAGTGATACATACACTGTAGTTTCTGAGAGCCTGTTGGTAACTTGATTTTTGGAAAACTTGCCTCAAGAATTAATTTGGTGACTGTTTTTTTTAAAGTATTTGTGTGTTCTATGATTTTTTTTTAACACTGATGCTATTTTAAAAGAAATGTACATTTGTTGATCTATTTCAGTCTAATGTGGTTTTACTGGTTTTAAGCAAGTTAAGTATTTTAACATTAATATTTTTCTCTTTAGGTATTTGGAGTTCTTACAACATGGCTGATATTGACAAGTAAGTGGCAAATAATTAGTTCCTTTTCAGACATTTAATGTCACTTTGTACTATGTGTTGTTAACAGCAGTACAAATTATGTGTTATTAATATGTATGCAATACCTCATGCTGAGTACTAGTAAGTATCCAAGTTAAGGTATTACAATAAGGCAATACAGATAATGATAGTCACATAATAAATAAGACATTTGTCAGTGTTTATTAGAAAAGTGCTCTGTAGTGTGATAACGATCATAAATGTATGGAATTCAGTTTTGGCTACATTGTATCTCCCAAAGATCTTTTTGTTACATTAAAATATATATGTCAGATGTGTATATTTATGTAGAGTTTAGATAAGACATGTAAGTTAAAATGCATTGTTAGAGTCCCTGTGTGCCCTTTCTTAGCTGAATTGTTCACCTTTCTTCAGAGATGTGAGAACTATCCTGACTGTTGTCTAATTCATTTCTTTTTAAGTTTTACTGCCTGTAAGTTCTTAGCCAGTGTAGCTGAATAAGAGTATTATCACTGCTGGTTAAAAACTCCAAGATAGGACAATATAAAGCAAAAGGTATTTGGATCAGGCTTCAACTCTCCTGAGGTTTTACAAGGATTTGTTGCAGAGAAGTCATTGGACAAGGGTCTAGGACAGAATGATTTAATCGAGTTTGCATGCGGTAGAGTCCTGGGTGCTGGGGTTGAATTGTGTGATATTTGTTGCCTGTGATCTTGAAGTAGCCTACTGACTAGAAGTCAACAGGTGGCTAAATAAAACAAAGCACTTTGGGATTATTTGGACCGACAGTGGTTCTCATCAGTTGTAAGTACTAGGGAATGAAGGAGGGATGGCAGAGACCTTTAGCACAAGGTCAGCACATAGAAAAAGGTGTAAAATTGTAGGCCAGTCTTCAATTCAAAATTGTTTCCAAGTTTCACTGCTCTAATCTGAATAGCCTAACTATTATTACAAGATTCATTGTGATCTATTTTACTGCCTTCCTGATGTTTCTTTTTGGTTTGCTGTGTGCTTTATCCCATGGTGTTTTCATGTTTGAAGAGTACAAGGGAAGTAAATTATTTGATACATTGTGTGACTGAAAATGATTATTCTACCCTTAGTTTGGCTATAAAATTCTTCCAATATTTTGAAGGCGTTGCTCTGTTTTCATCTTTTCAGTGGTGCTGTGTTGGGAGTTCAGAGTAATCACTCTTGTTCATTTTTATTGATACGTTTTTATATGTCTGTGTGTTTCTGGAAGCTTCTCTGGCTTTAGAAGTGTGAAATTTATTTTCGTCTATGTTGAGAGTGGGATCCTCTTCCATTTACTTGTAAATGCCCACAAGAGTTGCTGCTAGACCAGGTGGAGACCTGGAGCTGAAAACTCAATCGAAAGTCTCCTTGTGGGTTCAGGACCTCAACACTGGAGCTGTCATCTGCCCCCAGTTTGTTTTAGTGTAAGCAAAGGAGGCAAGACTCAGACCTATCCCTCATGGAATATGGGTGCCCCAAGTGGCAGCTTAACGTGCTACACCCACCTCATTTAGGGGGCATTTGTGACTTTGCTGATTTCCTTGCTGGTTTTTTTTTTTCCTCTGAAGCTTTAATGAAATGCCATTCATTGGATTGGTCTTCTTTTGTCTTACTTTGCATCTTTGCTTGCCTCTGTGCTGTTGTTCATATTTGAACAGATCTGAAGAAGCTTTTTTGACTCTTAACGTTGAGTTTTTAAATCTATTTCGTTTTTAAGAGCTCTCTTCTTTTCAATTGCTGTTTTTATAATATCCTGTTCCTACTTTGTTGACTCTTTTCTATGGATGTTCTTCCCTGGGATAGTCTATTTGCTCTTACATTTTCTTTCCCCACTTGTTTTTAGTTTGGCTGATGAGATTTTCCTCAAGTACGAGATAATACTTAGTTGTCTGGGTTGTCTAGGATGAATGTTGAAGCTGTTGAGGGTTAAATTTTCAGTGTTTGAAAGGACTGTCAGTTCGAGATTTTACTATCAGCAAAATGAGCATTTGTCATTAGGAGCCCTAATGTCAGTGGACCTCCTTTTTTTTCTGGACTTGTTAAATTTCCAACTAAACAGTGTCTAGGTCAAGATTTGGCTTCACAATCTAGCCATATCTGAACCGCAGGGTCCTTTATTGCCATATTTCAGGAGGGGGGAGGAGATACAAGGCAGTCTGCTGCTTACCAATTTTCAATCTTGTTCTAGCCAGCTTCACTGGCCAGTCCGCCAGTCTTGCTTCAGAAGTGGAATTGATACAATGCATTAATGCCAATTTTGATTTCTCTAAGATTTACTATTTTTATTGGAAAGGCAGATTTACAGAGAGGAGAGACATATCTTCCATCTGTTCCTTTACTCCCCAAATGGGCTCAGTTACCAGAGCTGAGCCCATCTGAAGTCAGGAACCAGAAGCTTGTTCCAGGCCTCCCAGATGGATACAGATCATAAGGTTTTCGGCTGTTCTCGGCCATTCTTCCCAGGTTACAAGCAGGGAGCTGGATGGGAAGTAGGGCCACCGGGACCCGAAATGGCCCATATGGGATCCCGGCACTTGAAAGGCGAGGACTTTAGCTGCTAGGCTACTGTACCTGGCCTGGGGTTTTTGTTTTTTGTTTTTCATAGACCATTTATACTAGTCCTGGGTTTTCCCCACTGCCGCCTTAAACTTCAGATGTCGGCAAAGTTGATTATGGCTTGACTGTTGGCCCAGTTTGAAAAGTTTTGCTAGTGTGTGTGTGTTTGTGCCTCTGTGTTTAATTTCTTCATTGCAATTTTAGTGGAGATTCTGGAAAGGTTTATATCAGATGAGCTGGTATACTCTTCAATCTTAACTTTGGGACCTTCATTTTACTTTACTTCTAAAAAAATTAAATTGGTTATACAGCTTGAGTTCTCCTTATTTTATTTTTAATGCGTGTTAGCCTTATGAGATGGAATAAAATTAGGATCTTTAAAATAGGAGTAGCAGACTTTTTGAATGGCTTCATAGAAAATACCTTTGCATTTTGGATAAATTAATGTGTTTGTGTCCAATAAAATTTGGTGTGTAGAAATAGAAGTAGGGCAGATTTGTCTACATTGACATTCTTTGTGGATACCTGATTCAATGTCTTGTTAGATGTAGCTGTTGGTTAAATGGTTGAAGACGCTGGAAGAACTGCTCTATCTTAAGGCATTGGCCTTTAACATCGATTCTATATAAAGTCTGTAACTCAAATTTTGTAACATCACAAGAGATTTTATGAAGCACCTTTATAAAATAAGTATCCTTAGTCCTCCTCTTTTTTTTTTTAAAGATTTATTTATTTTTTATTGGAAAGTCAGATATACACAGAGGAGGAGGAAAGATGGAGAGGAAGATCTTCCATCCATTGATTAACTCCTCAAGTGGCCACAATGACTGGAACTGAGCTGATCTGAAGCCAGGAGCCCAGAGTCTCCTCTAGGTCTCCCACGTGGGTGCAGGGTCCCAAAGGTTTGGGCTGTCTTTGACTGCTTTCCCAGGCGACAAGCAGGGAGCTGAATGGGAAGTGGAGCTGCTGGGATTAGAACCAGTGCCCATACGCAGTCCCGGTGTATTCAAGGCGAATACCTTAGCCCCTGGGCCACCGCACCAGGCTCCCTTATCCCTCCTTTTAATGTTGGGTATAATCTCATGGTTAAGTAAAAATTTATTCATTACAATGAAATAGAAAGAATGCTGTCCTAGGAAAAGGTAGGCTAAGAGATCTACTCCTTACGTGTTATCGACCCCATCTCTACTATGAAGAAAGTCCAGAGAAAGTGAAACAGGCAGGTGTGGTTGTTCCACAATCCTCAGGATTCAGTATCCAAACTCTTGTCCTGAACTGGTGGCTTCCATCTCCTCAGATGCCCCCTGAAGACCCGTATTGTAGATGGGAGGACGTGCGGGAACAAGATCTTAGAGGCTTCCTAACTATGTGTATTCTTAACAGGAATACTTCAACATTTTGTTCCTCCATTTTTAAAGAATTTTACTGCTGAAGCATAGTCCTAACCACATGTAGCTAAAAGGGAGACTAGGAAATGTGGAGTTAGCTTTGTGGGTTGCTGTTCTGTGTAGAATGGGGATGACTTTACCAAGAATAGTGAAATCAGTGAGTATTACATGCTTCTTGGTATATTCTCCACATACCTACCAAATCAAATCATCTGTATTTCAGCAGATACTCTAAATTGAAAGTTTAAGTACTTCCAGATTGTACTTGTTTACACATGAAGTTAGTGCTTTTAATTTTCTGTCTCACAGGTTTGAAATAAGCATTTTGATTTATGAAATGAATTTAAGTTTTTCTATACTTTTTTTTTTGGTAATTGGTACAATTGAACCATGGTGTGATACTATGATATTGTAGCAAAGAACAGTCTGAACTTGATCAAGATTTGGATGATGTTGAAGAAGTAGAAGAAGAAGAAACTGGTGAAGAAACAAATATCAAAGGTATTATTTTAAATTACTTCAGGTGCCAGTGATTGGCACATGGCTTTCAGAAGAAAGCAATAAGTGCCATTCCCCTTTCTGGGCCTTTGTCCATTGTCCACTTGTCCTCCAGTTCAGTAAGGGTGAGTGTTTTTGGGATGGGTATAGTAAGGGAAAAGGTCTATGGAGATAGTAATTCATCAGACATCACTATTCACTCACAACTTTGGCTGGAATGACATGGTAAGCTGCCTGAGTTTTTATCTGAATTAGAAATTTTAACAAGTAGTCACGGTGGTGATTCTTAGTGATTCTTTAAACAATGACTAATTTTTAATATCTAGAAAATAATGGAGCATCTATATTGTCTTTGAAAATCCATTCTTCCAACAAACAACAAAAATGAAAAGAGTTAAGGGTAGGTAAAAATCACTCAATTTTTCTCAGCAGCAGGTAATTTTTAAAAGGGTAATGGTGAAGAGTTGTGTTATTTCAGGGTTTTACCCTGGATACCTAGGCTGAGAACAGTGAGTTCTAGGTGACTTGGGTTATTTTGAAGCCACCTGGGGGTCAATTACAAAAAGCCTTCTGAACTTACATCTTTCATCACACAGTATTTTCTTACCGAGTACAGGACTGTGTCTTCTGTGATCAACATCTGTGTTTCTGAATGCATGTTGATTATCACAGCTGTGTATCATCCACTATTTGATTTAATGTCAGAAATAAATTGACTTCCAAGAATTCAATTGGGAAGATTAATGGCAATTGTAATATCTGAATTGGTGAAGAAAGGAAAGATAGCATAATTAGTTTTGCATAAATCTGGTTTTTAAGTAGATTGACTATAATTTTTCAAAGCCATTAATAGCCAATTCTTATTTGGATTCAATTATAACCTTTGTCTCAAGTATTAACTTTGTCCATGTATACACAAGTACATTAAACAGGTAACAAATGTAAGCATTCTGATCACTTACTTCATCTTTCTCCCAGGCTTAAAATAGTCACTTTCTTTGCAGTTCTGTGTTGCTTGCCATCTAAGTAATTTCAAGAGTTATAGCTAGGCATCTGGATGAAGCTTTGAGCTTCCCAAACTGCAAGGTGGGTGAGCATGAAGGAACTAGGAAGAGAGAGGATACTGCCAGTAGTAGCAATGCCTTGAGAAATGTGATGCATTAGAAATCATTAGAATCTCAACATGTCCTGGTCATTGGGTTTTCTAAGAGTGTATTTTTCTTTAGCTTGCTTTGTTCATCTCTGCTCACCAGTTTTTGGGTGAGTCACAAAAATTTCATGATTGGATTGTCCTATTTATGAAGCATAATATATTTTCATAAAATCCTTCTTTCGATACCCCCCCTTTTTTTTTAAAGCGCGTCAACTGACTGTTCAGATGATGCAAAATCCTCAGATTCTTGCAGCCCTTCAAGAAAGACTTGATGGTCTGGTAGAAACACCAACAGGATACATTGAAAGGTACAAGTTCTTTTCTGTAGCTGTTTCCTTATTTATCTTTCTGTGAATCAACATTGCTAGTTGTGTCTGTTTTTAAGGCCACCTAGGGTAATGTATGTAATAGAGGAAACCTTAATGTCTGTTAGTATGCAGGATGGTGAGGATTCTTGACAGTTTGAATATTTGGCCAGTGCTACCTGTCTAGAATTGGTCTTTTGAAGTTTATTTTAACTCCACAGAAAATAGATTTTAACCATTGCTGTGATAGTTTTAGGTTTATTAGACATATGCAGGATTAGAAATATAGATATGACATAAGTCATTAACAGTAGCCTGTGTATATTATGATTTTAAAGCCATTCAGACTGCTATCTTTGTGTGTCTAGTTAGTTTCTAAATGTTGACAAATTCTCTGTGGTGTATGTCAACTATTATCTTCTTTTTCTTAAATGGACTCCTGTCTCTATCAACACAAATTTTATTGAAGTGGACAGGCTTGCACATGTCCTTTAAGAACTATAAATTTCTTTGGGACCTGTATTCTGTCTGTATTGGGGATGCTAGTAAATAGCATTTACAAGGCTTAAGTACTTCGGTCATTATTTTTGGCATTTCTGTATCTAGCACACAAATGTTGCTTTATCTTTGTGTTTCTGCTGAAAATTGCATCCAACTCTGGGGTTTTTTAAGGTACATACTCATTTTTCACTTCAAGATTTCTTTCTTTACTTGCTTATAAGGTAGAGTGAGAGAAAAGGAGGGAAGGGAGAGATCATCCTTCTCTGTGCTGGTTCACAACTGCTGATGCCAGGAGCTAGGAACTCCTTCTGTGCCTGCCCTCTGTCTGCGGGGGCCCAGGTACCTAGGACCATGTGCTGCTTTCCCAGACATATTAGTGGGGACACGGGGTGTAAATGGAGTAGGTGGGACTCGACTGGCAGCGAAGTAAAGAATGTTGGTGTCATAGCAATGGCTTAATTCACCATACCACAATGCTGGTAGTTGTTTTTAAACCAAGGTAAGAGGTGCTGGCTCATTTTGTTTCATTTCTATTTTATGATATCTAATGAATTTTTTGGAAAGGCACATTTACAGAAAGAAGAGGGATACAGAGAGAAAGATCTTCAGTCCACTGGTTCTCTCCCCCCATTGCTACAGTGGTCAGTCTGAGCCAATGTGAAGCCAAGAACCAGAAGCTTCTTCATGGCCTCCTATGCGAGTGCGGGGTCACAAGACCTTAGGCTGTGCTAGACTGCTTTCCCAGGCCACAAACGGGGAGCTGAATGGGAAGTAGGGTAACTGGGACTGGAATTGGCACCCATATGAGATCCCGGTGCTTGCAAGGTGAGGGTTTAGCATTGAGCCATCTCTGAGGGTCCTCTAGTATTACAGTTGCTCATAAACGGTGTGAGCCTTTTAGGATGCTCCTATATATCTTTTTTATTTTCTCTTAGAGTTACTGTCTTTCATATTTGCAAGAGTCTTTAATGTAGGATTTATCAATTGAAAGGCAGAATTACCACTCCCCAAATAGTTGTAACAAGCACAGGATGGAAAATGGCCCAGGCCAGAGCCAGGAACTTTGTCTGGGACCCAAGCAGTCAAACCATCTTTCCTCTTCTTTCCCAGGTGTATTATTGGGAAACTAGATTATAGGTGAAGTAGTGGGACTTCCAGTTTTACAGGCAGTGAATGTAACTTTTTTGTATTTTAAATGTTTCCTTGCCAGTTTTAGATTTTGTAAATAAACATTGTGTCATTTCTACGAGATTATAGGGCCCTTACATAAGATAAATTTTTAATTTTTATGTTGGAAAAATATTTTGTCCTGTGACTTGTGCTTTTGAAGTTCTAAGGTCCTTCCTAGTTCTCTCTACATTTCTTATTGACTAGTTTTACCTTGACATTTAGATCTTTAATCTCTAGAAACTAGCTTTATTTGTTGCAGAAAAGCATCCATTTCTTGCAGCTTTGCTTTTTCCTGAGCTAGTTTTTGTATTAACTAAGTCTGCTCTTCCCCCTTGCAGCACTTAATTTTGTGTCCAGTTCCTACAAACACTTGTGTATGTCTTTGAACAGCACTCTTCTGTTTCACTTTCTTTTGTCTCATTCTTTTATCATCATAACAAGTAATGTAACTCCATGACGTGTCTCAGTATCTGGCAGGGTAGGCTGCTTCCTTCCACATGTCCCCCAACTCCCAATATAATCTTAAAGCTGATGAATGGATTTTCAATCCCATCTGACAGTTAAACTTGTTAGAGTAACCAATTTATTTAGTTAACCTCACAGTTTGTTAGAAATTACATTGTATTGATGAAAATTGTATCTTATATTGTGTCATCTATATATGTGCATTTGTTCAGATCACATGGGTCTTATTTGAGTTTTTATGGTCTGTCGGTTAAATTCATGTCTGTTTTAGTTGTTGCACATATGGTCTTTCTATTTGCATTACTTGATTGACTTATTGTCAAAAATTGATCTTATATCTAGAAACTTAGTAAATTGATTTATTAATTGGTTTTGTCCCATTCTCTGCCAAACAGAAAATCTTAACTGCAGATAATGGCAGTTTCAGCTCAGCTCTTTCATATTAATTTTCTCTATGTAACACTGGTCTGGACTTTAAATGCTAGTATTAAACATTAGAATTAGTATTGAAAACAGTCATCTTTGCCCTAATGTCTTAATTAAATTTAGTGCTTTTTTTTTCTTTTTAAATTCCGTTTTCTGTGTGCAAATGATCTTTTGAACTTTTTTCTTGAGTCTGCTAGGTAAATACTAAATACATGTTTTGGAAATATACTAGGCTTTGCATTCCTGGAATAAACAATACAATGTTATTGATATGTTATTAATTAATATGATAGACTTGCCTGTGACATGCATGTATGTATATGTGAGGATTAAAAATAAAACTTGGTATTTAATTTGTAGTCCGTTTTAGCTGTCTGGTGGTGAATGAGATGGCTTGTAACTTTTCCCTAGTTTTCCTTTATCAATTTGTGTAAGACAGAAATCAGTTTCCTGAATGGTTGAGTAGAACTGCTAAAAATTTACTTGGATTTAAGTGTCCTATTTTCTACTTAGCTTTTTTATTTTAAGCAGTTTTGCCAGCTGTCTTGTATCTTACTGATGTTTCTCAGAATAGGTTTGCTTTAGATTTAGATTTCCTTTTCTGTTCTGTTTTTGATTGTCACTGTTTGCTCTTACTAATTTCTGGCTTTCATATCATTTTTTATTTCTTAGGTTTCTAATATACCTCTTTCCTATTTGTTTTAATTACATGCTTAATTCAGGTGATTTTTTTTTTAAGCTTTGTGGCTTCAGTTCCACTCCTCCTGTGCCTCTTCTTCCCTTCCCCCCAATGAATCTTGGGTGTAAAAATATATGCTGAAATGAACAACTTGTAATTAAGTGTTTTGTCTTCCTATCTAGGTTTTTGGTAAGGATATGTTAAACGTTTTTACTAAATTACCTTTCTTCCTGTAATTTTATCAGTTGTGGAGTGAATTTCTTTGAAGCTATATGGTTGGGTAGGTGTTTTGTATAGCACCCTCTGATTTCTTTTTGTTATAAATACTGATTTTCTGATAAGATCTACTCAGCTTTTTTATGTTGTTGTTTGTTTAAGCTGTCATGCATTTTTCCTTCTTTATATTTTCCTGCAGTGAAGATGATTGCTTCTTTATTAGTAAGTTCAACTGTACATTTCTTGGAGGTTAGATTGATTTTGGACATAACCCACATGGTTTTTTCCCTTTGAATTTGTCGTACTTTGCTTCTTTTTCCTTTTATAAGTCATATTATCGTCCTTTTTTACAAGTTAATGCATTCTACTTTTATTAACTCAGTATCCTCTGACTTTACTTACCTCATTGATATTTATTAAATTTCTCAATGTCTGAGTTTTAAGATATACTTCATCTGTTCTTCTGTTTTTTTTTCTTCAAGGCAACAGTGATATTTATGAAGATATTTGACCACCCATTCCTTGTATGAATCCACTGTGTGTTTTTTTTTAAATTTACGACAGACCTCTTGGATCCTGATGATTATGATAACATTTTTATGTTGTGCTTATGCCTGAATAACAGTTTCATAAAATTATAAATTTCTTAAAATATTTTAAAAATTATAATTCATTTTCTTTACAGTGTTTTTTTTTTTTTAAAGTCTGTTTTTAGTCTGATTCCTTTTTTTTCCTTTTAGGTTATTTGCTGTTTTTACCGAATGCCTTTAGTTCATGATCTCACCAGCATGTCATGGGTAGAGAAGGATTTTCATAGTACTTTATGGAAAATTTAACGTTCTCATGTCTTAAGATATCCACCCACCCACCCCATTCGTGACTCAGCTTTTGGTATTTTTGTCATCAGTTTCTAACAGCTTTTCTGTCTTTAATGCTACCTTCTCAGAGAACTTTTCAGTCTCATTTTTTTCTTCCTTTGCATCTTGTTTATTCTTTATGTTCTTAGTCAAACAATACTTTAGATTACAACAAATCAGTTCTTTCATAGAAATTGTACCCCTCAAGTGTCAAGTTATTTTGACCTTTGAGTCTCAGAAACAATGAACACTTTGACTTACTCTGATAATGCGAATTGTGGGAGCCGTGAAGGTCAGAATACGGTCTGTGATGTGACAATGTCATCTCAGGTAGGGTATGTAGTATAGTGACTATCTGGAGCAACAGTTACCTTAGATTCAGTCTCCTTCCAATTCCAGGCAGTGTTTCTGTTTGCTTTGAGAGTAAGCAACCACCTTCCTTTGCTCTATCAGTTATTCCTAGTTTAACTTTGATCAGATTTTTGTGTTATTTTTTAGAAATCCTGGCAGTGGGCCTCTGCAGAAGGTAAAGGACAGAAAGGAAGAACTTAAAAAAAAGATTGGTTTTAAAAATTCTTTCCTCTAAACTATTTTGTTAATGCTTTGGGCCATTCCTCTGCTGTCCAGCTTGCAGGTTACCCTCTACCAGCCTTCAGTCGGACTCAGAATTGCTTGTAGTGTATTATATGCCTGAAATAGTTGTCAACAAAAATAGCAGTTAAGTAGGAGAAAATTTAGGTTAGCCTGGATTCTGGGTCTTTTGCTGAACTGAGGTAAATTTTGAGTGAACTTTTTTGGGGCTGTGGGTGACAGAGAAGTATCTAGATTAGTCATTCTGCAAAGGTCTCTTAATCCAGGTATGGGCTTTCAAAAACCAGTACCCCATATTGTATTGCATGATGAAATAATTGTATCTCAGTAAAACTGTTGCTTTAAAAATTCAGATTTCCTCTTCATTATACATTACATTCTTTCAAAAAACAATTTCAGGTCCCTTATTAAATATATATGCTGATATCCTGTGTGTTATCATTTTTCTCCTTTCTGTAATGGGATAAACTTTAAAAGAAAAGGGAAAAAATTCCAAGTAATTATTCTTGGTTATGGTTTGTTTCTAAATTTACAAATTTTCATAAGTATCAGTTGCCTTTCCAGTGAAGTTAGCAGTGACAATTAGAACACAACTTGATTATAATGAAAGATTTAAGATTGACAATGATTTATATTTTCTTAATCAGTTTATCAGGTTAAATTTCCACATTTGAAATGTTGTATGATCAGCATCTGTATCTTCTTGAAGTTTATTTTCAAATAAAAAAACTTGTCATTCATTCCCTTTTATGCTTCAGTTTCAGTATGATGAAAGAAATATGGCTGGTGTTTTACTTTGATGCTGTGTAACTAGTTTCTAACCTTTCAGTCTGCCTAGGGTAGTTAAAAGACGGGTGAATGCTCTCAAAAACCTGCAAGTTAAATGTGCGCAGATAGAAGCCAAATTCTATGAGGAAGTTCATGATCTTGAAAGGAAGTATGCTGTTCTCTATCAGCCTCTATTTGATAAGGTAATGTTTTCTTCTACTTCAATTTATCTAAAATTCTAGAAAACAAGTTCTGGAAATATAAACTTTCAGATGGTTTACTCCGCATCCACTGAATTAGTTATTAGAGTTACCTGGAAATCCATCACTAGAAGCAGTTAAGATGGTGGTATATGTTGATGAAATCTATAAAAGTCCTTAGTGAGAAACTGCTAGTTTTTAGCTTGGATGCTAGTGTTTTATGCAAATTTTTTAATTGTTCTAGCGATTTGAGATTATTAATGCGATTTATGAACCTACGGAAGAAGAATGTGAATGGAAACCTGATGAGGAAGATGAAATTTCGGTTAGTACATACTACTTCAATGTGTTTGTTAGGTGATTCAAAAAAACATTTCAGAAGTTCTGGCATTTGGGGAAGGGTTACAGTGTTATACAATCAGTGATGTTTTTAAAGCAGGAGATGTTTTATTTTTTTTCTAAGATAGTGTAGAAGTTACTGTTACTGTTCAACCTGATGCCATCTGTGCCTTCTTTTTATTGAATTTATTTGAAGTTAGAGTTTGTATCTGTTGTAAAGTGCTGGCACAGGCCAGAATCAGGGACATCATGTTCCATGTGGTGGGGTGGGAGCCCAAGTCCTGGAAGCTAGAATTAGGAGCCAAAACTTGGATTAAACAAATCCAGGCTCTTTGTGGGACATGGCCTTTTTGTTTCAACCCGATTTTATTTCTGGTGATGCCCATGTAAATTACCTATTAGGGTGAGGAGGGTCGAGGAATGGGGGAAAGTTCATGGAACAACTGCCTCCAGTTTCCTTTATTCTTCCTGAATCTTGGGAAAGTGAGAAAAAATGGGAAGGGGACAGCTTCTAGCATTGCAGCTGAATCAGTACCTGGGAATGTGGGAAAGCCTTCCGGTCCCTGATGTGGGGCATGTTCTGAGGGTATTGCTTAAGTGGTTTCTTTTCTTTTTTTTTTTTTAAGATTTATTTTTATTGAAAGGCAGATACATAGAGAGGAGGAGAGACAGAAAGGAAGATTTTTCGTCCAATTGTTCACTCCCCAAGTGAGCACAACAGCTGGAGCTGAGCCTATCTGAAGCTGGGAGCCAGGAACTTTTCCGGGTCTCCCATGTGGGTGCAGGGTCCCAAGGCTTTGGGCCGTCCTTGACTCCTTTCCTGGGCCACAGGCAGGGAGCTAGATGGGAAGCAGGGCTGCCAGGATTAGAACCAGCAACCATAAAGAATCTCGGGTGTGCAAGGTGAGGACTTTAACCACTGTGGTATCGCACCAGGCCCAGGTGATTTCAATAGTTCTGAAATGCTGTTAATTTTGTTGCTCCGAGGTTGAGGAAATCCTTCCAAAGTCCTTTGGCGGACACATGCCATCTTAGACTCTTAGTTTGCCCAGAAACTCACTTGACTGGGAGAGCTATCCAATTTATTCTGCTCTCCATGATACTCCTTGTCCTCAACAGGGCTTAGTGAGTTGGTTGTTAGGGGTCTAGTCGTTCTAACTACTAGCCTAAATGCCTATTCCCCAGAGTGGTTTCTCCTTTAAATTTACAGTAGTTCAAGTTTATGGAATCATGAATTTCTCCTTTGAGTTTCATGATGATAAGCAAAGGATTTTTCAGGTTTAAAAAGTTTTTAACTCACTTGCAAAAACTAGTCTGAGATGTTGTAAAACCTGGGGCCGTATTACCTCACCCTGCTTCTGTTCATCACTATTTTAATTTTGGTTGTTAAAGGAGAGGATGTAATAATTGGATTAGGATCACCATGGGTGGGATGTTGAACAGTTACTTTGTTTTTATTTATTTATTGTGATTCATTGTTATTTTATTTATTTATTTATTTTGTCTGTAATGGGTTTTCCAGGGGTTTGGGTCCAGTGGCTGGTTTTGTTTTGGTTTTGAAGGATGTGGTAGTAGTAGCTTTGATGGGATTAAGATTGGTGTGAACAATTGATTGCCTAAACCTTTGCCTGAAAGTTATATTTGAGAGTGTGTTTTTTGTTCCTGTGTGAAAACAAAAATGCAATGCTTGTGAATTAAGTAAGTACGTTTGAGAGATCTAATACAGATAATATGTGCTGTCAATTATGAAGGAGGAGATGAAAGAAAAAGCCAAGATTGAAGATGAGAAAAAGGATGAAGAAAAAGAAGATCCCAAAGGAATTCCTGAATTTTGGTTGACTGTTTTTAAGAATGTTGACCTACTCAGTGATATGGTGCAGGTAATTTTATTCTGAAAATACCAGTTTACCTCAAGGAGAAACCTTTAAGAGTTGAAGGACACGGTGTGTTCCACTCTTGACCTTTATAGGATGGTTACTTTACTTTGAAACCACTATTCTCTGTAGAAAGAAAATCATAACTTCGATTATTGTGATTGAACAAAGACGATTCGTCTTCACAAGTTAGATAATGGAATAGACCTGTTGCTAGTTACGCATTGGCTCTTAGCACTGTGCTGCCTTGTCATTGCATACTTTGTATAAAGATAGAACAGGGAAAGATTGCTTGGTTTTAATTCTGATTGCTTCCATTTGAAACAATTGTTCAGGGGAAATTTGCTCTGAGTAGTACTTTAAATGTTTAACTCAATGACAGAAAAACACTACAGATGTCACCTTTGGAAAACTTATTTTCCAAACATTTCCTGAACCACTACCATTTGTGCTGTAATACTTACTAACCCTGTCTTAGGATTGTTGAAGTCACATTAAGAAAAAAGAAATACTATCATAACATTGGTTTCCTCTTACTGCATTTCTAGTTTATCAAAGGATCTAGCAGATGGAGAGGAATGCACATATGGAAAAGGCAGCATTTATAATCAAAGCATTTTTAAAGGGAACCATTTTTAAAGGGAAAAAGTCTTACAACTTTTTCCTCTACCAATAGCAGTAGAAGCGCATTATAAAGTAGCTTTAGTGTAAGCCGTGTTCTGTAGTTTGGAGGCTTGTAATTGCTACATAAAATTTTGGAGTACATTCTGTTCCAATCTGTTGCTGATTATGTAGTAATAGAACGCTAACTAACTCTAAAATGCCACTTTCAGTATTCAGTTTTATTCTTGCTATTTTTTTTTAAAGGAACATGATGAACCTATTCTGAAGCACTTGAAAGATATTAAAGTGAAGTTCTCTGATGCTGGCCAGCCTATGGTAAAGGAATTTTAGAAATATTCATATTGTGTAACATGATTATATTTTCTGTATATATATATGCATATACAAGGGATGGATAAATGCTTTTTTTTGTTTGTTTGTTTGTTTTAAATAAATGACATTGAAGCCTTAGGGTGAAGGTGAGAAGGAATTGCTGATATTGAAATTTAGATAATTAAGGATTCATATGCATGAATAGGTAAATATTGTTTGTTTAGTAGCATATGCCTTGGAATTAGAGAAAACAAAAACGGGTGGTGTTTATTTGTTGTAGCAGCTCAGGTGCACATAGGGCACCTAGAGAGAGGCCTGGGTCCCTGGATGAGCGTTGGATCTGTGGGCATTCGGTGAGTGACCCAGTAAATGGGAGCACTCTTTTGTTCTGCCTTAAAAGTAAGTGAAAGCATGATGTCACAGGACCTGTGTTCCTACAGGAGAAAACATCAGCTATCAACTGCCCTACAAAATCAAGGGCAAAACCAGTATAGAAGTACTGGCTGTGGATCTTTCAAGGTTAGGCCCGGCTCTGCTACTTTAAAAAAAAATCCTTTTTTGGAAGGATATGTAAACATGTTATTAACAGTTATGAAGTGAAGCTATACCTTTTTAATTTCATTTAATTGTGCTTTATTTTGTCAAAATTTGGGATTTGTCTTGGTTCCTTGAGTAGTGATTATTTAGAATTTTTTATGTCCTTATAAACACTTAAAAGAAAAAGCCTTGCTTGCTAATAGATTAAAATATATTAGGAGAATTTTTAATCCTTTGTTGTGTTTTTTTTCTTTAAGAGTTTTGTCTTAGAATTTCACTTTGAACCGAATGAATATTTCACAAATGAAGTGCTAACGAAGACATATCGGATGAGGTCAGAACCAGACGATTCTGATCCTTTTTCTTTTGATGGACCAGAAATTATGGGTTGTACAGGGTGAGTTTACTGTATTAATATATTAGGAATGTTATATCTGTTTGGTTGTGCCTGTGGTTTGTAATTGACAGTTCCAATATGTGAGCCTAAATATATTAAAAGCCTATCAGAAGTGTTTTATGGAAAAAACTTCATTGGTTTTAGCTGTCCTTTTGCCTCAAAATAAGTTTTCCAATTCATATTTTCCAAAAAATGTTGTTGAATTTACTGTATGAGAAATGAGTTTCCATTTTAAGTAGTTTTCCTTGTGCTGTGATTATGATACATTGTCACAAAGGAATATACTGTTAAATTTATTATCTTAAGTGTTTTTGTTGATTGTAAATACATTCTAAACGTCTGTTTAGAAATAGTTTTTTTTAATATAGTTACAGAAAACATCTGAATCAATTTTTGTTTCTAAAACTTGAAATCAAAATTCTACATTTACTTGTACAAAATTAGGGATTGAAAATGCTACTTCTGATTTTTTCTCCCTCTTTATTTTTCACAGGTGTCAGATAGATTGGAAAAAAGGAAAAAATGTTACTTTGAAGACCATCAAGAAGAAACAGAAACACAAGGGACGCGGAACAGTTCGAACTGTGACTAAAACAGTTTCCAATGACTCTTTTTTTAATTTTTTTGCCCCTCCTGAAGGTAAATGGTGGTTTTGTTTGGGTATTGATATTTATCATTAATACTAAGCCTTGTTGAATCTCTTACTCATTTGAATTTTTCTTAATTTTACAGTTCCTGAGAGTGGAGATCTGGTAAGTTGATTTGTTTTTTGTTGAATTGACTGTATTGGAAAGTAAATGCAGGTGGAGAGTGAGAAGTTTCTGCTAGCATTGTGATTCTGACACCTCATGGAGTCAACCTGTAAAACTCTGAAAGACTGATCCAAAGTGATGTCTCTGTGGAAAAACAGTGACATGAACTGCTCAGGATTTTCTTTGCAGACTTGAAAATATTTTTATGAGGGGTTTAGTTTTTTAATATTAGTATATTCTTAAATCAAAATTATTGGGTCGTGATATTACTTGTTCTTTTTTTTAAAAAACAATTTATTTGTACGAGATTTAGAACTCTTACCTGCTGGTTTACTCTCCCCAAAAGGCCACAGTGGCTGGGGCTAGGCTAGTCACGGTCAGGAGTGTGTTCTGTGTTTCTCCCATGGGTGTAGGCCCCAGCACTTTTGCCGTCTTAACAGTTTGTTAGGCGTTGCAGAAGTGGGACAGCTGGGACTGAAAGCAGCCACCCGTATGGGATGCCTGCATCAAAGGTAGCAGCTTTACATGCTGCACCCAATGCCAGTGACAGATTTCTTTAACCATGCTTTGGTAGAACTTTATCCTGTTTCTTACCATAATGAAAATATGGTTTTATATCATGACCAAAAAGTATGCCTGCCGTACATGAGGAACAGCCTCCATAAAGTATCTTCAGGCAGAGGAGGCTGTTTTTATGTTTCATATTTACAGTTGCTTCTCTGTTGATCAGGCTTTAATTTGAGATTATGTATTGGAATTGGAAATTTAGTAAGTTTGAATACTTTTGAATTGGCATTTTCTAAGGCTAAGAGCAGATTTGTAAAAGACAGTTCCTATTGTGTCTGGAAAGAGTAGTAACTGATGGGAAAACAATCTCGGTTTTGGATAGAAAATCTCCATCTACAGTTAGAATTTCTTTCTTGAAAGTATGCCCTCCCTTTTTGTTTTAATGTATATGTCGATGACTCAGTAAACATTCAAAAACATGTACTAATTAATGTCATGAGCATTTCTGTGAATTGCTTGGCCATTAAATAGAGTTTGACTTAATTGTTGTCGAATAGCACTGTCTTCATTGTCATTTAAGTAGACACAAAGCTGTAAAACTGCTTAGTTACTTTTAGGAAGTGTGAAGTGATTTTTTTATGTCTCCCGTGTTTTCTATGTGTCATATACTTTGTTATTTGCAGAAGGCTAATTTCTTAGTACTATTCCTTTTAGCATTTTCAGTAATATTTTCATAGAATTAGTTGTAGCAAAATTATTATTTGTTTAAACCAGAAAAAATAAGCAAATAAACTTATGGCTTATTTCCCAGATCCTCTTAGCACATAGTGCATCATAATGATTTATTTTGTTTTTATTTAAATTGTGTAAATGTATCACATGAAGTTATTCCTAAATTTTGTGCTTTTGTTGTCCTTTTCAAAAAATAGGATGATGATGCTGAGGCTATCCTTGCTGCAGACTTTGAAATTGGTCACTTTTTGCGTGAACGGATAATCCCAAGATCAGTGCTATACTTTACTGGAGAAGCTATTGAAGATGATGACGATGATGTGAGTGAATTTGAGTTTTGTTATGAGATGATTACATTTGCGGGTATGACAGAGGTGGGCAGAGGTTGGGTATTAGACTTGGGATGTACCAGATAATCATTTATATAACTTACCTTTAAGTAGTTTTTCTAGGGATCATTATATTCATTTATCTAAATTTTTATTTTGTACCAGTGGGAAGATCATTCTGAGCTTGTTTCCTGCTTGGTCAGCATTATAGATGCATTAGGCTTTCCCCCTTGGCCACACAAAGCAGAATTAGAACCGTCTTCATGCTTAAAATAATATTTATTAGATGGCATACAATTTTTGTCTAAAGATATTAAACAATGATTAAGGTTGATTTAGGCTGTCCCATCTAATGATAGCTGAGTGATTGCTGCATCATATATGTTTGGAAAAATATTTCATATTTTTACATTTTACATTTACAGTATTAGTATTACTAATGCTTACACTTTACTGTTTTTTCTTTTCAGTATGATGAAGAAGGTGAAGAAGCAGATGAGGTAATGTTTACCAAATGAGCAAATAGTTCTCTGTTTAACACAGTGAGAAGCAAGTTGAATGACTTATGTATTCCTTTGCTATAATCATTATTCTGTGATTTGGGATACATTTTGGAAACTGGTTTTAGAACTCTTCAGCCAAACGATGTATGTATAAGGTTTCAATAAATAAATTACAAAACTCAGCAACTTTTTTTTATTTCAAATAATTTTGTTCTGCTGCAGGGTTATCAGCTCTTTGAAGAAGTCAAAAGCTGCAGTAAACTTTTTCAACGTTGGCTGCAGTAATCTTTTCAATAAAAGCTGTCTGGATGTCTCAAGTTGTGTTGAAATTTTTTAGATTAAGTTGCATTGTCACAATGTCTGTAATCATGAAAGACTATTAACCCATAGAATAATTTATATTAAATTTTCCCTACATTATGAGCCAGTATTTCCCATTTGTACCTACTTCATGGATGCATTTTGAACTTTAATATAGGAAGGGGAAGAAGAAGGAGATGAGGAAAATGATCCAGACTATGACCCAAAGGTGAGCAAAATTCATACTACTTTCTCTTCAGTGTGAGCGAAGCTAAAGGGAGAAACACTACATACACAGCAGTTCAGCTTTACTAGGAAACGTTTTTAGTTTCTACTTTTCCCAATTCAGGTCAAGTGTAAACTTTATTAGGATACTTTTGGAGTTTTTTGGTTTTGTTTTGTTTGTTTAGTTTGTGAGAATTAAAAGCATTGAAGCTGAATTTGTTCCAGTCAAAAGAAGGCTTGTAAACTCAGGTTTTAAAGTATCTGAATGCGGGAGTGCTTCCTGAGGATTTGTTGTATTGGGATTAATAAAAGCCTTTACTTCCAACATGGTGCATAGTAAACTAATAGGATTTGTTCTTTTAAATTAATTCATTTGTTAATTGCTTTAAAATACCCAGAAGATACTTTAACCTAATGAGGAAGTATGAGAGTACTTCAAAAGCTTCAGAAAAAATGAATTAAAGGTTGTTTACTTTGTTTGCTACAGAAGTTTGAGACCCATAGGTTTGGAGGGGTTTTCAAAAAGTTTGTGGAAAATACTTAGTATGAAAGAGGGGTGCATGAATGATTTTTGGTTCAAAACAAATGTCTTTTAGTTCACTTCCACAAATGTTTTGAAGATTTGCAGTTCTATTAGTCTCTGTTTAAAAGAGTTAACTGTACAATGTAAAATTTGGGTTTTATGTTAAGCATTTCAGTGGCTTGCTAATTGACTAGAGAGTTTGCCTTTAATGTCTTATATATTTCTTTAGTGCCACAAAAATTTGTACAAAGCAATGAATTACTGTGCTAATTGACTAATGTGCTGCTGAGTAGTTCGCTACAGCAGGTAGAAGAAGATGGATTGACTTGTTGTTTTCCTTTAACAGAAGGATCAAAACCCAGCAGAATGCAAGCAGCAGTGAAGCAGGCTGTCTGTGTCCTTGAGGATAACCTGCACTGTAATAGCCTAATGCAACTGTCATTTCCTTACAGCCTTATGGTTTTGTATTTTCTTGGTAGACTCAGTACCTTTTTTTTTTTTCTTTAAGGGAGTTGATATTTCAAAGATAATTTGTTGTAGCTAGAATTTTAACTATAGTTTTCTTGTGAGATTTGTTGAATGCTCAAATTCTTGTTGCATGTTCATTCATTACTATATAGTTTGGTTCTCCTGGAATATTTTCAAAGTGTAGCTATTGGAATACAGTTTTAAAGTGCAGCTGTTTAGCACATTTTTGTTTTATTCATTATGTTTTTCCTGAAGAACCAAAGTATTTCTCAGCTGGTGGTTGAATGAATTTGTTTGCTTGCATTAGCTGTGCCTTTTATTACTTTGTTGCAGAAATGCAGTGACTTATAGTAAAACAGTTCATCTTTAAGAAAAAAAAGACCAATCTTGTGGTTAAGAATTTCCAGTATGACCACAACTGATAAATGAATGTTAATGAATTAAAGAAAATTAGCATATAACTTTTTTAAAAGTCTTTAACTCAGAATGGTTATTGGTTGCCCATACAGAGGTCAACAAAACGTAGAACCTATAATTTTCAAATTAGCCTGATATTTAATTGTACTTTTAATTGTAAACTCCATTAACTAAACATCTTTTCTTTGTGGTAGGGTCTACCTTCTGCTTCCCTGGAAAGGATGAATTTACATCATTTGACGAGCCTATTCCAAGTTTTTTGTTGTTGTTTGTTTGCTTGCTTGTTTTTGTTTTTGCAGCCTAAAATAAAAGTGTCAAATATAATTCTAGTTTTCCAAGATAATGTCTTAATTTTATACTAATCTAGGTTACAAGCAGAAGCTTAGCTTGTATTAAGTGTTGTGCCCAGTTAATCATATTGAAGAAAAGGGTGCCAACTTCAGAAAAGGTACTCCATCTACGAATAAGCAAGTGTTAAGAAAATAATAAAATTTTAAATGATGTAATGCTTTTTTAAAGGAACAAAATTAAGGAGTTAAATTTGTTTTCTCCAGTTTAGAACTAGAGACGACCCCAAGCTGCTTTGATTTCTCTACTTCTTAGGCTTTTGTTTACTATGTATTAAAATGGGTAGTACTGTTTACTTAACTACCTCACCTATATGTTAAGGCATATGAAATATCAAATGTTTCAGTCTGATTAAAAGTTCAGAAATTGAATATTTGTACAACAAGTGTGATGATTCAGTATCTTACTCGTACTGAGCTTCGATGGTGAACATGGGGAAGGACCTCTGTTGTGAATCAAGGCAGACAGCCTTCTGGATCTTTGTGTGGCTCCTATTTTAATGAAAGTTGATTGGGTGGACATACTGTCTCAAGGTCCAAGTTTTTTCCCACATGTTTCAAAAAATACAGTAGGAACTATGGGGCTAAAGCAGACCATTGGGGGTGGGAGTATAGAGCCACATTTAAAAATACCTCAGGCTAGTTACTGTTAATTTTGAGGGATCTTATTTTGACAGTGAAGGTCGACTAGATTCTAATTACAGGAAGGTCTAGAGTTCTATTCTTAATGAAATTACATTTGACTTCATTTTTAGAGATATTAAAAGCTTACTGTTTGAAAACTTAGTAGTATGGTGGTTTTGGCCTATAAACATACTCTGTTACCTGCTGTTCATACCTCTTAAGCTTTTTGACTACTGGAAATCCTTAACCAATTAAAATACTTACCCTTCCCTTTGATTTTGGTTGTTTTCAGTTGACATTTTACAGATATGTTATAGTCATAATTCATTCACTCAAACATTGCTTTTTCTGAACCTTCAAGTTTAATGATAGAATCCCATTTTTAATTAACTTAAATAGCAAAGTTTAATTGCTTTATGAAATCACTGATCTCAAAGTGAACAGGTAGATAATATTGCAGCTGTGTAATGGGAACATGGTTTACAGAGGAATTGGTTCTTTTATAAAAACTGGAGTTAGAAAGGATGTCAGTGTTCAATTTGTGCTATTTCTCCAGTTTCAAAATGGTCCCATTTCATTCTAGAAATTTGAAATAACTGTAACTTGAAATCCTTAATAAAGTTTGACTTTAATTTTTTAAAATATACTGGTGATACTTGAGACATTTTAAAAAATATGAATATGTACCCGTATACTATTCTGCTTGGGTCAATATGACCAGTGAATACAACTTTAAGAACAGCTGTCAAGTTAGAAGAATTTGTTTTCTATCAGCTCATTTCACTTGAAAAAGTTCCTTCTCATTTTCTCCAATGATAAAGTCAAATCTAAGGTAATTATCGCTTTATGTCCATTGAAGTATGGCAGTGAGCAGAGAACAGCAGTTTGAATAACTGATTGGTTGTTTTAATTTGAATATCTTATTTACATTTATATGATATCTTAGAGTTCTCTTAGCTGATTTTCTCAGAATATTCATACTATTCTTTATTGTGAAAAATCTCAAGTGGTTAGGAATTGATTTATGGAATGATAACTGAGAAAATGGGATTCTACCTATATATAACTCATTTAACAACCACAAATATGAAAAGGAAACTAGCTTTGGTTAAAACATTTTGTTTTTTATTCTGTTAATAAGTGGTTGCTGTATAGTAAGACCCCTAATAGAACTGAATTAATGGTTTATGTTACTGTTGCTTGTAAGACAGAATGAATTTATGGGTTTATCTGAGTTGTAGGTTATTCCCATTATTAAAAACAAAGACAAAACTTTGAGGTGTATATGAAAACATTGTTGTGCTGCCATTGCAAAATATAAGTTAATATTCAAGTATTTAATGCTTTGATTTCAGGGCTTGATTTAATATTTGGATCTATTTTTAGTTAATCTTACAAATATTTTAGCCTTTATATTTTTTCTTTGAATCAAGCCAAATGTTACTTTAGATGTACAAAACAGATTGCTAATTTAGTAGAAGCATAAGTTCTTTGTAGGAGCTTTAGAAAAGAGAAATATATGCTAATTCAGTTTTAAAAACACCTGCACTGTATATACTTGGTAATTGTGGACTTTTGAAAATCAGCACTTATAATTTAGGTAATTTGCTAATAGCTCCAAGTCTTGATACTCAAAAAGTAAATGTAAATGATAATGGTGATACACTAAAATTATTAGGTGTGTACTAGTGATTTTTGTATACTGGTTTAAAAATCCAGATGTTAGGATACAACCTGGATAAGAAGCCAAAGTCTTTGAAGAAGAGTCACATATGACTTTAGAGAAATTGAAACATCCTTCTTGGTGTATGGAATTAATTAAGTATTTATCCATCAGAAATTTTAATTGATGTATTCAATTATATTTTCAAAAAATATGTTGTATCTTGTGTTTCTTCCATGTGGCACTATGTGACAAGCATGAAAGGAGAAATGGGGACATAATTTAGAAGTAAGAATTTGCTGGTAGCAAACTAATATTGGCAACTGAACATTTGTGCGGTTTTTGAAAGTTGGATAGAATTGACGTTTTGAAATTTTCAGACTTTATACTCTACTGAAAAATAGTAAGGGCTGGGAATAAGTAATCAAAAATGCAGATATTGGAGGTCAACAGGTCTCTGGTGTTAATAATATTTAAATAAGTTTAGGCTGTTGTGCAGTCGTTTTTTTTAAGGATGCTGTGAACCTTGGATGAGAGCTGATCATTTTAAAGGTTGATAGACATTGGTGAAGCGTGAGGTTCAGGTAGAGCAGCTAGAAGGTAGTAAGAGGTGAAGTCCTGAGAAAAGAATCGGCATGTACCAGGAGTTGAAATAATGGTGGATATGCCAGTCACTGGACCCATGTATGGTAAACACTAAAAAATACAGGCTGGCCTTCAAACTAAGATGTGGTCCAAAAGCCCTTGTCAGTTTGAACGAAGGTAAGACCATTTTGCAGTCCCCGGATTAGTTTGAGGCTAATAATTAGCTCCTTAACTAGGTGATACAGAGGAACAGAGAAAAAGCTCAGTGACTACAGGGTGGAGAAATGGTGAACAAGATGGACTTGGAGAACTAACAAAACTTGTCTTTGCCAATCATAGGAACTTTACATGTTGTCTCAGAGTACCAGGCCAAATGTCCGTGCTTTTTAAAAAATGTGTGTTTAGAAGCTGATTTGTATGCTTTGACCTTGGGCAGAATGCAGAAAGGGTCTATGTAAACCTAAACTGATTTTAGGTTTCTCATGCTGCCAAGCACCCAATTTGGGCATTTACCTGGAGCCTTGGGCATTGGTGCTCTTGAGATCAGATGGGACTCTAGACTAGGATTAAGGCCAGTCATGTATTTTTCCAGACTTAAAGTCTTGATGTGTTGTCTGCTGATCAGTTAGTTGGTTTAATGGGCAAGACCTAGAACTTTGCGGAGTGCTAATTGGCATTGTGGTGTTTGAGCTCTGTTTGGCTCCCTTTTCGCTGGGTTTTTGTGTATGCTTGACTCTTTAAATTAATAGCTGCTTTGTGATTCTTCATTTCTGAATTTGAGTGTTCTAGGATTGGTTGCTCACTAATGAATTTCTGAAGTGCCAGGGACTAACCTGGGACGTGTTAGGTATAGCAACTTTGTATATTTGTTATAAAATAAAAGGTGTTATGAGACTATGAAGAACATATCAATAATTTAAATTATCTGGAACTGCATAATGAAACCACCTTCAAAACATAATTTAAGACAAGAATTTGGGCTTAGTGCTTGCTCTGTTGATGAGTATCACCTGGGGTGCCTTTTAAAACTAGGGACTGGAAATTTTTTTTTTTTTTGTAAAAAATATTTTTTATTGCAAAGTCAGATGCATAGAGAGAGGAGGAGAGACAGAGAAGATGATTTTCCAACCAATGATTCACTCTGTAAGTGACCACAACAGCCGGTGCTGCTTCGATCCAAAGCCAGGAGCCAGGAACGTCTTCCAGGTCTGCATGCGGGTGCAGGATCCCAAGGCTTTGGGCTGTCCTCAACTACTTTCCCAGGCCACAAACGGGGAGCTGGATGGGATGTGGGGCTGCTGGGATTAGAACTGGCACCTGTATGGGATCCTGGTGCGTGCAAGGTGAGGGCTTTAGCCACTAGACTACCGCGTGGACCCCATAAAGATTATTCTCTCTTTTTTTAAAGATTTATTTTTTATTATTTTTCATTGGAAAGGCGGATATACAGAGAGGAGAGACAGAGAGGAAGATCTTCCGTCCGATGATTCACTCCCCAAGTGAGCGCACCGGGCCGATACTATGCCAATCCGAAGCCAGGAGCCTCTTCCGGGTCTCCCACGCGGGCGCAGGTTCCCAAAGCTTTGGGCCGTCCTCCACTGCTTTCCCGGGCCACAGGCAGGGAGCTGGAAGGGAAGCGGGGCTGCCGGGATAGAACCGGCGCCCATATGGGATCCCGGGCGTGCAAGGCGAGGACCTTTAACCACTTGCGCCACCGCGCCGGGCCCAAGATTATTCTTAATATGTAAGTTTTGTGGATAAAGCTGCTGGCAACTCAATTGGGATGAGACTAGATCTCTTAGCTGCACATGAACTGTCTGGGTTCCAAGAGCTAGTGACCCAGTTTTTCTGTACACCCGTTGGACTGGATTGTCCATTTTGTGTTCTCATGGTTTAGTCATCCCACCTATCCAGGACTAATGGGAAAGGAGTTTACTTGGCAAGAAAATGGGTACAGTTTTGCAAATGAAAGAAAGCTAGATTATCAAATTCTGTGTGTGTGCATAAGCAAAAGCTACAGTAGTTCCCCAAGATACCAGGCATGAAATGTTAAGTGACATCGGTGTAAGGGGGAAAAATGTTTGTTTTTCATCATACCGAGTCTTTCTCTATTTGAATTGCACCTGGATGGTATATACACAATGCGGCATTCCTGAGACCACGGTGTCCTGCTTGGTTGCTAAGGAAAGGATGAGTAGCATAGGCTTGCTTTCAAAGAGGCTGTAATACACTTAGCATTTCAGGAAAAGCTTCCACTAGGTGGAAATCCAGGGATTCACATCTTAATCACTTGAGACACCTAAAGGCCTAGTCATTTAATTGTGTAAGAGTACAAATAGTGCCTTATTCATATGCACCCAAGGATAGCTGTACATACAAAGTACATGTTAATGGCAAGGACACAGTGTGTTGGGGTCAACATTATGCTGCTTTTATGAGAATTAATGGCTTTGGCAACCTTGCCAACACAAAATTGGTACAGCTTTTAAAAACATTGGGAGACTGTGGTTAGCCTATACCAATTTCTAAGCCATTGAGATAACATTTCTTCGAATTTTGCATACATGTGTTATATAATACAAAGTAACTGTACTGGAGGTTTTCATCCTTGTGGTTTGTTTGGCAAGTTGCCTGATTCCAAATGGCTACTAAGACTACTGTGATCTCTAGCTTCAAGGTAGCAGCTTGCGGCCACAGGCTACTGGCATTCAACTTGCTTTAAAGGTGAGCCATGATTCAGGGCTGCAGGGAGGGCAGTTGGGGTCATGTGCACAAACCAGAGCAAATGTTAGCCTGATAGCCACCATCTGCCCCATGAGTTAAAGGAAGATTTATGGATTTTTAGAGCAAGGATATGCTGGAACAAATGAACTAAATGTTTGAGAAATAAGCAAGTTGACTCAAGAACAGCGGTTTAAGAACAGCCTAGAAAGATGAGTTAAGACTGAAGTCTTGTGCCTCATCCAGGGCTTTTTACTCACAAATGAGGTTGAGATCTGAGGAGTAAAAAGTTGCCTGGTTTCTTAACCTGGTAAAGAATGCTAATTGAAATAAGTGGTTTATTTAGATATCAAGATTGGGGTTTGCTATGACCGGGTTGGTAGGATGGACTAAGTAGTAACCCTTCCCATTCGCCCACCCATGTAAGCTCTCCTTTTCTTTCATCCTCACATTTTTGTTACAAGTTACAGCCATTTGCTGATTTTGTTTCTCTTAAAACGATGAATTGAAAAATCCGTTTTCCCACAGTATATAGTTGTGAGGGAATCATCTATTCAAGGCAACGCTTGAGATTTGCCCAAATGGGAAGCTGATTTAGGATAGTAGAGGGTTGAATGCAATTCAGTAAAGATTTTGCCCAAAATAGTTCCCAAATGCTGCCACTATCAGTTACAGTAGAATGCTTCTTGACTGGCTAATGCAAAACCACAGTGTTGGTTTGCAGCGAGAAGGAAGCAGATCTGTTTGCTGGCTCATCCCCAAATGGCTGCAATGGCTAGAGCTAGGCTAATGTGAAGCCAGGCTCCCCCTCAGGTCTCCTACATGTGTGAAGGATCCCAGGACCTTGGGCAATCCTTTGCTTTCCCAGGCTAAAAGCATGGAGCTGGAGAGAAAGTGGAACATCTGGGCTACAAAGTGGTGTCCACATGGAATGCTGGCAGTTCCAGGCAGAGCTTTAGTTAATTGAGCTATTATGCCGACCCAATCATTGATTAAAACACCTTTTCCTGCTCCCTAAGTTTATCTGCCATGGTTTGAATGTAGGGAAGAGCTGGACCCCTCCTCTGTTTCACCCTATTCCTTAGACTTTTCTAAGTATTATAAGTAATATGTAAGGAGATTCCCCACCTTTCCTGGCTGGCTCTTTTTCTAAATGCTAGCAGCTGTTTTCAACATGATGCACTGTGCCACACATCAAATTTATTAATCTGAGACACATCAAAGTGATAATTAATGGACGAGTTTTAAAGTGCAGTGTTAGGAAGAAAGAAGTTAAAGGAAGTGACAGGTTTGGTTTTGAGTTTGCTTTGAACAGAGGTTACAGAGAAAGTGGCAGTGGAAGCAAACTGCAATGTAGACTGGTTACTGGACATCGCACAGGTGGTTGGTGAATTGTAAAGCCAGATGGTTCATCCTGTGCAGGCTACTGTACTTTTCTACTTGTACTTAAATTGAATTGGTGGCAGTATGTATGATAGTGTGGACCAAGTGGTCGGATGATTTCCAGAATTGGCCTGACTCACAGACTGATGCCCTAAACTTTGAGCATGCTTATTTTGATTTTCTTCTAGCTGTTACATAACTTGAACACTAGGAGGTGCCCACTCCTTAGCCTTACAGTAAGATAAAGAGGGCAGCCAAACAGCCAGGACATGGGGCTACCTCTGCAGAAAATAGAAAGGTAGCGTGTAACCAGTTCAACTCGAGGCTTCTTGGAAATTTGAATCTTTGCAAGATTCTCTCCCTACACCCCCTAAATGATCCTCAAAAGTGTAGGATGACCTCAGCTTATATAATGGGTTATTTTAACCTTGACATTATGCACTTTTGTATGAATTAGAAGGTGTTATGGAAAAATCCATACATTTTTGAGTGTGATGTTGATCAGGGAAGGCCTCATTAAGGTGCTGCTTGTGGAAGGTCCTGAAGTCGGGGTGACGGGTGGTGATTTGGATGGTGGCCGTGATTGTTAGTCTGCCAGGTTCCTAGTAAGCTGTGCGGCCACACTAACTTTCCCTGAGGTGGTCAGAAGGTGATAGAATGGCCCAATGGGAAATTCTGACTTTCAAATTCTGTGGTTCGAATCAAGAGACATTTTTGACAATCGGGTTGGCTATTACGGCATTTGCAAGTGGAAACGGTGCATTTGTTGTACCATGGTTAAACTGCAGAAGGTGAAATAATGCCAAAATTACTTAAGCTTCCGGATTCATCTACAATCACATCTGTTTTGCCATATGCAGTGCCTTCCAGCCACATTTTCCCTCAGAGAGTGTGAATTACAGACTAAAAGGAAATAGCTTCCAAATGAGCTAAAGAATGTCATTTGCTTGAAGGATGAACAGCTGGTCATGTAGAAATTCCTTGGAATGCTCACCTGGCCTACAAAGGCAGGGAAATAAACCCATAATGTTAGCACTCAAAATTTTCATCTTATTTGGGCCACTTAATTGTACGTGAAAGCGTAGGGATCTGGCCAATGGCAATTTACTGAGACTCCCTGGTCCTGGGATTGTTGCATTGTGCGTCTTGGATTTGGACACTTTCAATTATAAGACAAGGACTTTCCATCTGCTGGTTCACTCTCCAAGTGGCTGCAACAACCAGAGCTGAGCCAATCCAAATCCAGGACCTTCATTGTTTCTTGGCCTTTTGGCTAAGATGAAGAGCACAACCAGGACCATCTCCCAGCTTTCCCACGCGGGTACAGGGTCCCAAGGCTTTGAGTCATCCTCTACTGCTTTCCCAGACCACAAGTAGGGAGCTGGTAAGGATAGTGGAAGAGCACGCATATGGCTGCTAGTTTATTGCACTGGGGCCCCTTGGGATGAATCTTAAACTGACACACAAACGGTGTATCTGGCTGAGTTGTCCAAGTTAAGATACCACTCTTCCCCGCTTTGAATTGTTTTAGCCATGCAACTAGCAGATGAACTAAGTCCCATTTGGCACAATCAACAACCTTCCTTCCCTGTAGTCCAATTCCTGGTTTATGACATTTAGCACTGCCGGTTTGCTTAATTCATACGTTTTGCCACCAGGAGGCGCTGTCTCGGGTGTTTGCCCTTTCGGCTTCACCTACTGGAATGCGTCTTCTATAGAAAACTAAATAGGAGGACTCCTGGGCGGCGAATAGGGCTTTTCCTCGCCCATAGTTAAATGGTTCAAAACAAATCTGGCCCTGGTGGGCGTTTGTGGATGCTATCTAAGCGTTTGGAAGTTAAGAGTGGAGAATCAGCCCTACGGCCCTGGTTTGTAGTTAGTTTAGTTTCTCCTCTGACAGATGTTGTAGGCGTCAAGAAGAAAGCCGCAGTCATTGCAGGTGGAGGGGACCAGACGCCACCTTAAGTGGATCTTTCCACCTCTTCCAAACGGGACAGAGTAACGCTACTGGTTTAGTACCCATCCTCCCTCTATTCAAGAAAGACTTTTATGATGTGAACCAAGATACAGGGTCCTCTTGGCCTGTGTCTGGGACAGACTTGCTTCTGCCTGCCTCCAGGCTCTCAGACCTCCATCACTCAGGGTCCCCTACCCGCCCAGGTCAGGGATGACCAGTTCTGCAGGATTTCACTGCCCAGCGTGGCTTCCCAAGGGCAGAGAGCACCTTGCCTGGAAGCTGATTCATTTTCTGAGTTTGGGGGCAGAGAGCCCTGCGCACAAGGGAGTGTCAAGACAGTGGCACGGATGGCCCCTTGGTACCCTTTGGGCGTCAGCATTCGCTGTCAGACAGGAGGGTGAGCTGTCGGCGTTCACCCTGTGTGGAGAGGAGTTTCCGGCGCTCGGTTCCCGCCGCATTCCCGGGCTGGTAGCAAGGAAGCCGGCTGGTGGGTGGCAAGAGGCGGAGCCAGGGACGCAAGGGGCGTGGACGCGGCCGGCTTTGGAAGGGCCCCAAGTTAATGAGGCGTGCGCCGGCAGCCGAGCGCCTCTCGGAGCTGGGCTTTCCCCCGTGGTGCGGGCGCCAGGAGCCGCCTTTTCCGCTGGGTGTCACTCGGGGGTGGAGAGGATGGCCCATTCAAAAGCGCCACGAGGGGGCTCGGCCAGTACCCTTCAGTGAGCGCTCGCAAGAGGACGGCAGGAGCCTAGCAGCTGGCGGCTCCGGGACCTTGCGGCGAATCAGGACACGGCTAACCTTCTGCCGGGACCCAGATCCACCACCACCGCCGCCGCCGCGGTTCTGTCTCCTGCGAGTTAACCTCCTCTGCGCGCTCCGGGCAGGTGGCCGTGGGAGCCGCTGGAGCGAGGACGGCGCGCGTCTGCTGCTACTGCCCCCGGCACGGGCCGCTGGACACGGAGAGGCCGAGCCGAGAGGCGGCCCCCCTTATGCCGAGAGGATGTTGGAGAGCAGTGGCTGCAAGGCTCTGAAGGAGGGCGTGCTGGAGAAGCGCAGCGACGGGCTGCTACAGCTCTGGAAGAAAAAGTGCTGTATCCTCACCGAGGAGGGGCTACTGCTCATCCCGCCCAAGCAGCTGCAACACCAGCAGCAGCAACAGCCCGGGCAAGGGCCGGCCGCCGACCCGTCCCAACTCGGAGCCCCCGCCGTTGCCGGCCTTGAGCCGCCGGTCAAGCTCAAGGAATTGCACTTTTCCAACATGAAGACCGTGGACTGCGTGGAGCGTAAGGGCAAGTACATGTACTTCACTGTGGTGATGGCTGAGGGCAAGGAGATCGACTTTCGGTGCCCGCAGGACCAGGGCTGGAACGCGGAGATCACGCTGCAGATGGTGCAGTACAAGAACCGTCAGGCCATCCTGGCGGTCAAGTCCACGAGGCAGAAGCAACAGCACCTGGTGCAGCAGCAGCCCCCGCAGCCGCAAAGCCAGCTCCAACTACAGCCACCACCGCAGCAGCCACAGCAGCAGCCACCGCAGCAGCCCCAGTCCCTGCCCTTGCCCCAGTCCCAGCCCCAGCTCCAGCTCCAACCCCAGCCCAAGCCCCAACCCCAGCAATTCCACGCGTACCCGCATCCTCAACCGCACCAGCACCCTCACCCTCATCCACTCGCGCACCCGCACCCGCCACCGCACTCGCAGCCACACGGGCACCGGCTCATCCGCAGCACCTCCAATTCTGCCTGAAGAGGGCAGCACTCAGGCCAGAGCAGGTAGGGTCCCGGGCAGTGGGCAGTGGGCAGCGTTTCCAGGGCTTCGGTCCTTGCCAAGAGGGATTGGGAGACCACCTGAGAGTTCTAGGGGCGGTGGGGAGAGAAGCACCCCGGAGCCAGAGGAGCGTCCGGGCAGAACCGGGAAGGCAGCCGGGGCAGGTGGAGAGGGGCTCGAGCGAGGCAGGGAAGGCCGGACGCACTGCCCTGGAGCCCACAAGGGCCCCCGGTGTGTTCCGACCAAGGCATTGCCCCTGGGACTGGCCCCAAAACAGGATCTGTGTCTTGGAGAATTCTGAGCCGCCTACTTTACTCCATGTGGTTTGTTTCCAGATTCGCAGGGCTTGAGAAAGTGGGACGAGAGCACATTGATATTGCCTTCGCTTGGATCACAACGAGAACCTTCTCCCCGCCCCGCAGCAGATCCGGTAGATTGGACTTAACCAGACTGTTAATTGCGGGGTCGCCCTTGGTTTTTCCATGTATTCTTCATCACCACCCTGGAAACGGCATCGCCAAGACTTTATTTATGAACCTCTAAAAGGATCTTTTAGGACGGTTGGACCTTGGAGCGATGATGTACTGTAATTTTATTTTAATGTATTTTGATTTATTTATTAGTTTTTTAAAAAAACTTGTTCTGAGACATTTCTGAATGTAGGCCACTTTCCCAACAAGAAACTTTATTTTCAAAACCCATCCCTTAGTACGTCCTAATCTTAGAAAAGAAAACGGAAAAAAATGGTGGGTGGAGGGGAAACGCGAAGCATCTGGTGCGTTCTGTGTAGGGCATTTCCAGAAGGTCTGACCCTTGCATTGTCTGACCAGGAGGTTAAAATTAAACTGATATTCTTTTTTTCTTTGAGGTTTTTTTCCCCCCCTAGGCATAGTTTGTATAGTGTAGAAGTTTTACAAAGCTGGGAATTGTTTGATTATGAAAAAGAAATGATCTGGAGACTGCTTTTCTAAATGGGAATTGCTGAAAATGATTTTGATATCAAAATCTATCAAAGGTAACCCACGTGAGGGTTGGATGAGCATATTTGGGGTATGTGCTGGGCTGGGGTCTACTGTAGAAGCAGCTTCGCCTCCAGTACCTGCAAGTGAAGCTTCGGTAAGGTGCGTCCTTTGGGCTGATTTGCTAATTCAAAAAGTATGTAATGGGGGGAAGGAAAATCATTGAACTTGAGAGAATATTGTGCCCCTTCCATCCTCCTCAAGGGCTTGGGGCACCACACTTTCTGATCTTTAACTTAGCTTTAGAAGTGGCACACAGAAGGATCTCATAATTTAAGAAACAGTTTGTGTATATTTCAAAGGGCTAGGAGCCATAACCTTGTTTTCATACGGAAAATTATGTTGATGGGAGAAGCCAACTGTTTTTGCTTTTTATTGCTCTGTGAGAAATTTGAGGTTATGTGTTTGGTTGTTAGGTTAGCTAAACTTAGAAATTGAAAAAGGAAGGACTGGATAAACACAGCGTTTTCAGTTAGGAAACAACCCCGGTCTGTGTTAGGAGCCACTTGTTCAGTAGGATGTGGAGGGGAAAAAAGAGAAGAGGATGTGCTTTTAAAGGTAGAACAAACCCTCTTCTGTGTCCAGTCAAAAGGACAATCACAGTCCACAGGGCAGATGCTTCTGGAGTCTAAATGGAGTCTTGGGTGACAGCAAATGCTCCTGGGCTCAGAATCACTTCCTATCTGTGTGGCTTGTGTGGACGGACCCGTCTCTGGTTTTCAAGATCTGTTTCACAAAGTCTTTGTTGGTGTTTTTTGGTTTTTTTTGTTTTTCCCAGCATCCTGATTAGAATGGTATTAGGCCATTGCTAAGTTCTGTAGGCAAGCAAAGACAGTAGAGTTGTATGCTAAAAATTTTTTCATTTACCTTCCCTCTAGAAAGGAATTTTAGGGTGAAATTAATCTTAATGTAATCTTCAAGTGATGAACTTTTGAGATCATAACTCTTACCTGTAAAGTTTCAGAGGAAAATGGAAACTTGAGTGAATGTCAAGGACAACTTAAGTGTGCTGCCACTTCCAGATTCCATTTAGATTGCAGTTGCAAAAACATACCTCCAAGATTCCTCTCCCTCTGTTTCATTTCATTTCTTTCTTCCTTTTTCTTTCCTTTCCTGCCCATTCCTTTCCTTCTTTTTTATGGCAACACAGAGAGATAGATCTAAAGATTTTTTAATTCAAGATTGGTTGAGCTTCCTTAGGGCTACTGCTGTATGTTTTGGAAAATGTCTCCTAGCAGTATGGTTTAAATACATACAGAGCCTAATAATCCCAATTAAACCAACCTAATCCCAAATTCATCCCAAATACTTTAAAAAATTAAGTTTCACATAGGGCACTGAAAGGGCATTTGTTAACTTGCTTGCAGGGCTAGGCCATCTCATTGTTGAAAAAAACACATCCAGGATCCTCCACAATAGCCATGCCTTTTATTGGGGCTACTGGAATCACAATTTGTTGGCTTTCTGTAAGCCCTGCTTCCTTGTTTTTGTGTGATGTTTATGTTGAATTATGGTCCTGTCGTCTTAACCCGTCTTAGCATTTCACTGTGAAATCTCTGAAGTCAGAGAAGTAAGATGGTTTTACTGTTTTGACCCTTCAGATTATTATGGTTTAACAAAGATAAAAAGCAGGCTCAGCAAAACGGTTTGCATCTGTTAGCATATCGGCGGCTGTATTGCACCTGTGAGAAAATGAGGCAAACCACCAGAGATACAAAGGTTTGGCGGGTTAGCTTCCTGAAAAAACGGAAGACAGAAATTAAGAAGCTGGAAAATGGAAAGGAATGTCCCATCTGGAAACTGAACTTTTGTTCCTGAAACCAGTGTTGGCACTAAGCCTCTAACACCGTGAGCTCAGTAACTACTTGTTGGGAGAAATGAATGAAAGAAGGAAAACATATTAACTAGCCAGCACCCCTGGAGATCTTGTCTCTTGCCATAATGAATGCTGTTTCGTGGGAGCAGCTGGTTCTATGCCAGGCTAAGTGAACCTCTCCGTGGAAATTCACTTGCTGTGCCCTTGCCCTACAGGAGTCCAGAGGCAGTAAGAGACCCCTTCGAAACTGAACACTTTCCTCCTCAAGTGCGCTGGGATATTCTAATCCCGGGAAAACCAAACCACCCTTTCTCATCTAACTTGACATTATTCCCAATGATGGTAAAAACCAGCCAGTCAAGAAGTAAACACTACCCTTTGCTTTAAAGGAGCTTCCTCAGTCTGATGCTAGACATCGGAGCTGCCAGACTGTGAATGCAAATGTGTCACTTCTGGCTGCAGGTAAAGTGGTATGGCTTCCACTTGGCTGCATGCTTGTAAGAGGGGTCTAAGACCTCAGTTAATCCAGAGCTTCACGTGAGAAGGATAGACCCATGAGCATGTGTTTATCCTTTTGCTGAGTGTTGAGCTAGTTGGCTTTTACCCTCAGTAGAATAAAATTTAAATTTGGAAATTGTAGATCTTGGTATTGAATCCTTCAGTAATTCTTGCAGTTACCTCTAGCAACCTAAGATGCATTCGTTGTGGAAATGTGTTGGGGAAGGAGTTTGAAGAACTGGTCTCTTAAATTCTTGTTGCAATTTTGAAAGACAACTTTGATCTGTTGTGTTGAAGAGCCAATCTGGGTTTGTGTCAAAGTAGATGATGCTGATCTGTGAATGCATTGGCAGGAAGTTTGTAAATGCACGCAGGAAGCTGCAGGGCTTTCTCAGGGCGCTGTTGTCCAGTGAAGAAAGCAGAAGGCCTGCTGGTGGATAAAGGCAGCTGCATACAAACTGGCGAGGCCCCTTCCCAGCGCTGTGAAACTGGTTTACTGGTGACAGACTGGGCAGTGGGGAAAGCAGGCTTTCAAAGAATGATAAAAACTCATCTGTTACATTCCATGATCAGCCTTCTTAAGGCTTCAGAATACATATGAATCCGCTTCTGTAAAGCAGGTATCACCATACACCAAATGCTTTATAAATCATTACATATTCATGAACCTAATAGCATGGTCAGACTTTGTGTAAATATGTGTCTGAAATGATTTTGAGGAGATGTGATTTATTTTTCATATTTTCCAAATGCATTCCATTTCAAATAAAGTATCTATTGAGATGACTGGCCTGTGTACCTTTTCAAGGCCTGTTTCACTATGCATGGATGCTCTGTGTTCCCATGGGATAAATATTCTCAAGGGCTTGGCTCTTTTTGTAAAGGCATGTGGTTGGGGCTTCTATTTGCCGCAGTGCTCAAGCTGCTGCTTGGGGCACCTGCTTCCCTTGGTGGAGTCCCTACGCTACTCTCCATTCCTACTACAGTGCATCCTGGGATGCAATAGTAATCACTTAATCGCTTAGGGCCTGCCACCCACCTGGTAGACCCAGACCGAGATCCTAGATCAAGCCTTTGGCCTGGCTCAGTGCTACCTGTTGCAGGCATTTGGGGAGCAAGCTAGCCTGGCAGAACATCTCTCCCTGTCTCTCTGCCTTTCAAATCGACTTTCAAATTAAAACAAACAAAAAGCCATGGTCATTCTTGGAAGAAAACCATCATTTTTGAAGTTGGTAATTCATTTTTTAAAGATTTATTTATTATTTTTATTGGATAGGCAGATAGACAAAGTGAACCAGTGTCCACTGGTTCACTCTCCAAGCGGCCACAATGGCTGGAGCTGAGCTGATCTAAAGCCGGGAGCCAGGAACTTCTTCCTAGTCTCCAAACAGGTGCAGGGTCCCAAGGCTTTGGACTGTCCTCAACTGCTTTCCCAGGCCACAGGCAGAGAGCAGGATGGGAAGCGGAGCATCTGGAATTAGAACCAGTGCTCATCTGGGATCCTGGCACACACAAGGTGAGGACTTTAGCCACTAGGTTACCATGATGTGCCCTGGGAATTCATTTTTAAATAGGTAGGAATTTTAAATACAGAGAGACATTCTGATCTTTTGGCACAATAGCTAGCTTGCAGAATGCTAGTGAATGTGAGTTGAGTTTTACATGGTGTCACAGAGGATGAGAACCTGTGGTCCCTGGTGAATTCCCCTGACAGCGATCATGTCTCAGAAATTGATTTACAGTCCAGGCATTTAATGACTGCTGGCATTTGCTTATTACCTTCCTCCTCATGCTCATGTGTTTTAAGACATTTGCAGTTATACAATCACAGCACTCCATACATCACTACACTTTCTTCAGCTGGGGCGCTCTGCCTACATTGCTGCTTCAGGACAAGCGGGTAGGGGAGGGAAAACACTTAGCCTCCAGGCCCATGTAACCCACACACATGCTTCTGTATACTTTACATCTCTAGATGACATATAATACCTATTTCTTCAGAAATGCTATGAAAATAATTCCTGAGTTGTGTTATTAAGGGAGTGACGACAAGCAAGAAAAATGTACATTTTTTTCCCTGAATGTCATGTGTTTCATCTGTGCTTGACTGAATCTTCGGAAGCTGCAAGCATGGAGGGCTGCATGTAAATACCCCCGCCATGAAGGAAGATCATGGCATAATTGGAAAAGCCTGGGCTTTAGGAGACTAGCTCTTAACCTGGAGCTATTTTCTACTCCTGGAGATGTTTAGTGATATTTGAAGACATTTTTTTTTTGGTTTTCTTGATAGCTGGGTGGAGGCCATAAATGCGACTACATCTCTTACTATGAGCAGGATACTCTCCACCCCACCCCCCTCTGCCCTCACACCACCACCAAAGAATTATTATCTAGCACAAACATCAAGTGGGCCAGGGTGAGCAACCATGATTTTACAGTCAGGTAGTCTTATTTCTGTTAGCTGAGTTCTCCAGGTGAAGTGATTTGATTTATTGTACCTTCTGTTTCCATGAGTAAGTTGCAGCCGATGATGAACTAAATGGTCTTGTGCAATTGCAAAACCAAAATGAGGTAGCTCACTTGCAGGGCGGCAGCAATTCCTGTCCCAAAGTAGGCATTCGATGAACAGTAGCTATCATCCTTGTTGTGATTTAAAGTCATAATTTTAGGGATGGATGTTTGGCTTAGCAATTAAGGCATCATTTGAGATGCCTACATCCCTTATCTAAGTGCCTGGATTTGAATCCTGACTCTGTGTTCAAAAGCAACTTCCTGCTATGCTGGAGAAAACAGGTGATGGCTAAGGTACTTGGGTCTGCCACCCAAGCAAGAGACCTGAACTGAGGTCACAGCTGATGGTTTTAGCCTGGTCCAGTCCAGGGTGTTGTGAGAGTTTAATGAGTGAACATGCGATGGGAGCTCTCTGTCTTTCTATCCTTGTGTCTCTACCTCTCAACTAAAAACATCCTATCAAGTAATTTTTTAGGTCTTTGCAGAATTTGAGCCAAATTTGCATGTACATTAAAGGAATCATATAAACACAACATTGTGACTATACAAAGTATATGACAAAGGAAAATCTGAATGATCCACTCATTGGACCTGTGACTCTATTCAGCTTAATGTTTATTGCTGGAAAGCATTCACAGCTACACAGACAGGACCCAGTCAGGTACAGGTCATGATATGAATGCTTTAGAAATCTAGCCCTGTGTGCCTACGAACTGATGCAGTTATCAAAGACAAGTGGCTAGAGGACTCGGCAAGCAGATGATCTGAAAGGATTAGTGCTGCAGTTAGGACTCATTCATTGAGGAGCGCTCAGATTCTGATCTGATCTTCAAGGGATTGCAAGGACCAAAGTACAGAATGCACTGTTTCTGAAAGAGTGGCCATGAGAATGGCTGACGCCCTGCCAAGGCAACCATCTGAAGTATTTGAGGTTGATTAGACTTCGGAAATGAAATCTTGAAAAAAGAGTTCCTGTGGTTCTGTTGCATATGCTCACACTCTGCCAGAGTCATTTATCATTGAATGAGCAAACGCAGACAAGACATTCTGTGCTTCCAACACAGCTGAGAAATGTGTGTTCAACTACTGTACAGAGGGGAACAGGAAATGACGCCCTGGGACTTTCGAAGCTTTCATGGTATCCCTGTTCTCCGCTGACTTTGTTCTGTAAAACGTAGTTCATACACTTCAGTCCTCACTCAAACCGGCTACTCAATAATTGGGCAAGTATTTTGAACTTGGCATAACAAATTTTAAGCAGTAGTGTGGTTTGCCATGTCAGGGGTGACTCATCCCCCTGAGCAGATTTCATGACTAATCCATGTCAAAGGAGCTGAGCCTATAACAGTTTAAAGTGTTTTTCTCTCTCCCTCTCCATCTCCCTCTTCCTCCCCCTTCTTTTTTCTCTCCCTCTTCCTCCATCTCCCTATCTCTGCATCTCTGGTTTTTGGCTACCAAAAAAAAATGTTAACCCCCCCAAAACTTGCCTATAATAATCCTTCTGAATAACCCCAAATGTATATATTGTGTATGTGTGTGTAATTTATTTACTTTTCTTGCAAGCAACTTGCATGGCCTATGAAGTTCTCTTAGTCAGTATTATGGTTTGGAACCTGACAGCTGAAGGTTCGAAACTGCACCCCACAGGGCTGGCTTCCTCAGAACTTTAAGCACCCTGCTTTGACATTGAGTCTCACCTTGCTGGAATGCTGATTATAAAGCAGCGGTCTGCATTGGCACAAGGGCCCTTGGTAATTTCTGGTGCCACATTTCAGCATCACCACTGGAGTGAATGGCTTCGATCTCGGTGGGAGAAGAATTCTGGGAGTTATTCTTTGAGTTTCTGATAGCAAAGGAGACTCAGAAGGTGGATGTCAGTGTACAGATTACACTTGCACTGTGAGAATGAACTGGTCCTTCCTGTAACATACTGGTTTGCTGTGGAATACTTGAAGGGCTGGCACGGTAGTCTAACAGTCTGAACCTCTCCCTGTGGTGCTGGCCTCCCACACAGGTGCTGGTTTGTGTCCTGGCTGCTCCACTTCTCATTCAATTTCTTGCTTATGACCTGAGAAAGCAGAGGAAGATGGCCCAAGTTGGTGAGACCCTGCCACCACCTGGGATACCTGGAAGAAGTTGCCTGAGGTTACATGAAACCCTTGATATCTATTTAAAAAAAAAAGTACCAGGTAGTTATAGGAACACCTGTTTCCTGGCTGTCTGTGCTGCTGGTAAACCCTAATTTGTACTTGCTTTTTGTAAAACATTAAGTAATTTTTTTTTTCCACCTGCAATCTTGTTGAGTTTGAAATCAAAGAGTTTAGAAAAAATCTCAACCAAATTTGAACCCACATTACAGAGGAGGAAACAAAGTAGGCAAGTTTCAATTATTTGCTCAAGGTAATATTAGGGGTTAAAAATGAACAAGCAGGATTAGAACTCAAACCCAGCTACGTTGTTTCTTAATTGAGCCTCTTTCCATTGTCCCACTGTGTTGTAAGGATTGTAGGATCATTTATATAAATTCAAGCTTTTATTAACCTTGCAAATAATCACAAAGCATTTGGACATTACCTAAAATCTTTTCAACATTGAGATGAAATGAAAAGATTCATAATCTTTGCTTCCAAAAGTATAAATTATTGAGTTGTATATACTCTTCACTTACAGTCATTGAAAATAAATTATTTAATTCTATAAATTGTAAGTTATCCCTTTCAATCCCTGTGAGTTAACAAAAAATCACCAGCAGGTGCTTGATTCATGACAGAAATCAGAAATATATTTGGAATGGATGTATCTTTAAAAGTGGGGAGTGAGTATCCAGCCTAATGGGTTAGCTGTCCACATCCCACACTGGGAGTCCTCTCCAGGACATTAGTCAAATGCAATTGGCATATCCCTGAATTAAATCCCCAGGAACCACTTTTAATCTGTCCAGGACGTTAAAAAAAATCCAAGATTTTCTTCTGTGCCTCTTTGATTTAAGGGTACGAGTTGCAGACTTTAGAACCTGTAGTGACTTTCAGTGAGAGGATGGGAGAAAAAGGAGAGGAATCCCTCATAAGACACACACTCCAGTATCCACTAATTCTGTTTTGATTTCACATTTATGCATGTGCCCTGTGTGTGATGCCAGGATTTCCTCTTACATAAAATGACCTTTTCTGGGGTTTCATTCATGATACTTGGCTCCCTGTCTGAGTCACAGCACTTGTCACAAGGCAGTGGCTTGCCTGCTTGTTCCTAGGCAAGTGATGACTGGGAGGGCTT